AAAGAACAAGAGGTTGTCGCTTTTCGTGATGAGCCAATCTATCATCTATCTATCTTATCTATCAACTATCTATCATCTATCTATAGTTAGTGTTTTTTAAATCATGTGTACATATTACTTTTATTGAAAGGAATTTTTAATTACAAAAAAAAAGAAAGGGAATAAAAAGAAGCCACAGAAAGGAAATTCATTTATCAATAATGTAGTATAGATTCTAGAGCACAAATGAAGGAGGTGATTCTGTTGAGAGTAGGAAGTGAGCTTTTTGATATTCCTACGGTCCTGCTGGGAAGGAGGAGTGAGACACGTAATTGGGGGTTTAAAATAATAGCCCAGCCCCTTCCTCTCTTCCCCTGTGGGAATGAGCCTGCCCACTGAGGGTATGTGGTCCCAGACGGCTCTCAAACATGCACTGGAGATCTAGGAGGCCCTCTGCTGGCAGCTAGGAGATCTAAGGTTAAAAATCACCATTCCTGTCCTTACAGAACTCACAGTTTAGAGGGAAAGACAGAGAAAAGGCATCTAGTCCAGTCTAGGAAAAGTCAAAGAAGGCTTCCTGGAGGAGGTGACCTCAGTTATGAATGGGGATTCTTTCAAGAGATAAATCAATTAAGCCAACAGGGGGATCAGCATGATGCTTGGGACAACTGCAAGTAATTCAGTATTGCTGGACCGTACAGGTAAGGAAAGGGGACAATGAGAAAGATGCTAGGGCCACATAGTGAAGGATGTTCTGTGCCAAACTAAGGAGCTTAGGTTTTTCCTGAGGTCAGTGGGCAGGAACAGAGAGCCTATAAAGGACTTTATACAGCAGGTGACATAGCCATATTTTTACTTTGAATAATCACTGCAGGGCAGCAGATTTATTGGACTGCACGAGCCACAGATTGTCTGAATTTTTCAACAACACAACATTTCCCCAAACCACCACTGCCATGTTTTCATCCATTTTGTCCAGGCACCTCTTCCCAGTGAAATCTCACTCTCTGCCCACCTTTGTCTGATTCTAACCTCCAAAAACTACAGCCCAGGAGTTTCAAGTGGCTGGATTTTGATCTGCCAACAGCTTTGCTCTGTCGACAATTTTAGCAAAAACTCCTTCCACCTCTGCTGGCAATTTAGAGATAGCATTTCTGAAATGGGCTGTGGATAAAGGATGTTGCTGCCCCGGGAAAATTTGTCTGTCTCCTGCCAAGAGGAGACAAAGAGCATTGGAATGGTGCCAGAGGACACCATCCAGAAAAACAGAAAGGTCAAATAGCCCTCGATATTTTTTTTTGGTCTTGTCTTGTCTTTTTCCATTTTTAACATTAGCATCATGTCCCCCCGCCCCCGTGTCCTTTGGGGGAAGGTTAAATGATGCTTCTTAGAAATATTATGTACTCCACCAAACTACATAGTCTTGCTGCCTGGAAGGAAGAGGGTACAATGAAGACAGAAGGGCGCCCACAGAGCAGAATGTACGGCAGAAAAAACCCCTGTGGTCTTTCCAACAATCACCCTCTACTCTCTAATTCTTGTGGCTGAGCCCATCGACACCTGCTTGGTACATAGTGATGTTTAATAGTGTTCTGAGAATGTGAGATTCTCCGGCAGAATAGTAAGTCTGCAGTATAAACATATCCTAGCAGAAAACCATATATCATTTCCCCGACTTCCCCTCCTTGGGATGCCTCTAAAGAAACAGAAGATGTCATGGGAGAACCTGAGGACCATCCCCTGAGACCTGAGACTTGGTGCCACCATGGAAAGAATTTTCTTTCTACGAGAACAGAGAGACAAAAGGAATCAGGGCCATGATCCCTAAGATAGGTACCCGGTGCTCCTCCATGATAAGGTTATACTTCTGCCCTGAGGAAGGAGAACACGGAACCCCTGAAATTCCTACTGGAAGCGTTTCTGTGCAGAAAGAAATCCACTTGCTTGTCCTGTTTATCCAGACAGCTGGTGAAGAATCCAGCTTCATGCTGTGCTTTGTTTAGATCTGTCAAAGCAACTTAGATTTTTCTCCAGAAAGAGAAGTGAACCCAGTCCAGCACCATCTTGACTGGAAGTACAGTGCTCTCTGTTGAACAAGAAACTACACAGCCTGCAATGAAGGGCTAATTGACATCTATTAGAGATTTCCTTTCTGCAGGTGGGTGGGTTAAGCATCACAGGTCTGGCTTAGGGGACTAAATCCTAAGGCTGGTAACAAATGCACTCTTTAACTCAAAACAACCAATACGATGTTCCTTTAGTGAATATGTCTTACCAGCTGTGTAGTCTCATCACGAACCTCAAGGTAAAATGTTACATTCCAAGGAGAGTAAGGAAAATCCTTGTAGTTAAAACTAAAGATCTCAGAAAACCCCTGTTCCCTCTCAGTAAACGTTAAAGAGTTGTACTGATAATGATATATAGCTGATGAGTAGATTTAAATTTTAAATAGACCTTTGCCCCAACTAAAATTCCATGGGTGAGCCTGTAGTCACTGGACTATGAAGTTTCTCTGACCCTCTCTTCCTTATCATTTTCCAAAGGATAATTTCAACAGAGCAACTTAAATTATAATTTTGAATCAGAAAAATTAAAGACAATATCTGATTTCCTTGGGCCTCTGTGTGTCAACATATGAAACATCCAAACCTGTAGAGAATTTTTATGAGTTTATCAGAGCCAAACTGACGACAATAGCCGGGAAGCAAAATCTCAACAGATTGAGAAAATGCTCCGAAGAATGGCAATGTGGCAGCTTGTTTTATACATTAGAATCAGAGGAGACGTAAGGAGCGTTACATGAAATCCATTGGTGGTAGATTAAGGGGGTAGGAGAAAGGAAAATGGAGAAATCTCTGGAATTTGATAAAAAGCAAAAGGAAGAGACACATACTTTTTTTACATTGGTGGGTACAGGACTTAATAATTAACATTTACAGCAGTAGAGATGTTATTTGGGGAACAAGATAACAATGAGGGGGTCTGTGGCCTCCTGCTCTGGTGCAGTGGTTGTGCCCTGAGGGGTCTGGTAAAGATTACTCTGACATTTCAAAGGTATGTTAGTTGCAAAAAAAGACAATAGACAGGCTCGCTTAAAGTGAAAATTGACCTTTGTCAAGGAAGCTACAGGCCTGTGACATTAGTACCAGCCATGACTCACTTTTAGTTAGGAATTTTTATGTTCAGACCATCGTATATGGTTACTTACAGCCTCTGAGTTTGTAAGGCACCTCCCTATGTTTGTCAGATTTAGTAAGTGGACCATTTTTCATCCACATCTATAAATAAATTGGAAAGAAATTCATCTATTTATCTATTTACATCTCTCCCAAATAAATATGATTGGCTATCACAAAGGCCCTGCAATTTCTACCCATAAGAGCAATCAGTGCATACACACACACACACACACACACACTGTCAAATCAGTTGTCTGCATGTCCCTAGCGAGGGGTCCACCCCATGACCAAGAAAGCCTGAGAGGCCAGAACTCGTCAGATGATTGAAGACTCCCTCCAGCAGCAGCTAACATCTACATGTCCCTTGACTTCGTATTTAAGGAGGAAGAAATATGAAACCGAGTATCAATTAGATAGTAAATATTATGGAATTAATGTTGATCTTTTCAGGGATGATAAGTTTTTTAAAATAGTTCTTCTCTCTTAGAGATAGATACTAGAAACTGAAGTATTTATAAATGAAATAATGTGATGTCTGGGATTTGCTTTAAAGTACCAGGGGGTAGTAGAAAGGTATTGTTTTTTGAAATGTATTGTTAAAAAACAAAATTCAATGGAGTAAATTTGAAGATCTAATTGACTTTATTTATTGATCCTTGAATCAGGCGGATCCTATCTAGCAATTAGAAGGGTGCTCCCAAAAGTTGTACAAAATAGAAAGTTTTTACAGGAAGCAAAGTGGGGCAAGGGAGCTATAAATGAAAGAAAAGAAAGGATTATTTTGGGGCAGGGACATTTCTTCTATGAGAAGGGAAAGGATTTTTATTATGTAGATTACCTCTATGGAGGGGGCCTATGTGACAGATTACTGTACTGGGTCTTGACCAGAAAAATGCCATATTGATTGTTTCTGGGAGAGGCCGAAACTGCAATTAGATCAGGGATTGGTAACATGGGCTTTTAGCGTGAGTGACACCATTTTGGGCCTGTGGAGCTTTTCTTTAACAGTATAAGTGAGTAATATGACTATTTGTTGATAATTTTTGAAGCTGGTTAATGAGTACATCAGGTTCACTATACCATTCTATTTTTATATATATTTGAAGATTCCCACTTAAAAAAAAAAAAAAAAAAGACAAGAAAAGAAAAAGAAATCACTAGGTATGAGTCCTTTTACCAGCCATTTCTAACAGCGGGTTTGGGTAACAGGACTCTGCCACTAACGAGCTGTGTGACTTTAGGCAGGTCCCTCCATGTCTCCAGGACGCAGATCACTCATCTGAAAGATGTGGCCTTTGGGTGAGATTTCCCTTGGGATCCTAAGAAGCGAGCAGAGGCTGTGGCCTTGTAGAGAGGAGCCTACAGGCATTGAGGAGGATAAAGACTCGATAGTCATGGCAAGTGAACTTTAAACTCAGCTGACACTTACTGTATGTGACCTCTGATTGTCACTGCCTTTTCTATACCTGTTTTCCTACCTATAAAAATGATATTCCTATCTCATTGGTGAGAATATTAAATAAATTAACAGTTGTAAAGACTCTAGTACGGTGAATGATATTCAATAAATATTAGTTTCTCTTCTCAGTTTCTCGATTTTGCCCAGGACCAGCGATGTAAAGTCCTGAAGTCCTGCCTGGCTGCGAAGTGCAAAACGGCTAGAAACTACCCACCGCCAAGTGCGCGCACAGCGCCCTCGCGCGCCCAGCTGGGGAACGGCCAGGTCGGAGAGCCCGCCCATCAGCTCCCGCGCCTGCGCAGAGGCACCGCCCCCGAAGTTTGTTGTTGTGACCCGCGTCCCCGACGCCTTTGGCGGCTGGGGGACCGGGCCGCGGCGCTACCATGGCGGTGCGACAGGCGCTGGGCCAGGGCCTGCAG